ATATATACGTGTCGTCGTGTATATACATTTTAACAATCCACTGTAAAAAAGCCTATTTTCATATTAACATAGAAGAGATATTGGGATGGTCCTCTTGGCTGTTTTCAGAAGGTTATATTGCAGATTTTGATTAAATAGCTACTAGCATTGCTTCTAATTAACAGGTGTATTTCACATTACGTTTTTCATCTTCAGAGGCTTTTTATGGCATTTTATCAATCAGACTGTTTAGAGCACAGTCAATTGGATGATAGCAAAGGTTGCTAATCATCACTGATCAATATTGGTTACAATACTATCATTATGATTCTTATTAGTTATCTGCTGAGACAATAGCGATCATTATCAGACACAGTTTTTGTCAACTGTGTTTCCACTATGAGTTACTTACATTCATGGCAGGCTGTTAGCTTGATTGTTAGCAATTCTAACGCCTCATGTTACCTGGCAGAAAAAATGATCCCAAAGTGAGTTCCACAGATTTCAAACCAAAATATTTATACAAACTCAATCAGAAAATAACTGGTATCCAAGAGAGAAAGTTGTACTGATGCTAAACAAACACACATTCAGCGTACCAAGCCTGATGGCCACATGGTATTGCTAAATTGCCAATTATACTGATGAAGTTCTTTTGTAATATTTGTGAAATTTCAAGCCCTTAACAATCCTTTAACAACTTTCCTGCTACCCCTACAATGTAACACCCTGTTGCTATCTTGTAAAAACTATTGTAAACTGGGCATTCAGGTAACAATAGATACAAGTGCTGTTATGGTAACATAACAGCATGTAGTAAGGATCAATAATGGAATATCTCTATAAGCTAGTTTTTGTAATAAACTAGAACCCACCAAGTCTGCCTGAGTTTTCAGCTGAAGATCCTAGCTGCCTGTTTAAGCCACTGTTTGCTGCCTCAGCACAACCATGATGCCCTTTTACTCTAGGTGAAAGAGTTGCAATGTCTAAAATAATTCAAAACATCAAGCTGACCCTATACAGCAAATAAAAACTATCGATCCGCCCTCCCCAACTCCCACTTTAAAAGACTTATTGTGGAGTTCCATTTTGTCTAACCACTTGGCAAAAGAGTCCGGGGTCTAAATAAAGAAAGAATAAATAAAAAAAGACCCCGAGCCAACGTGTTGTTCTCACCTTTGCAGATGAAATTACCCGAAAAGCTGTTACAAATCAATATAATCAATGCAATCAGCTAACTGGCACAGGCAATCTCCTGCCAGTAAGCAAAATACCCCCGGTGGAGATCTTTCAATCTCTAGTGCCATAATTGCCCCCAAGGGCGACGTTAGGGTGTAGCATTTTGTACACTTAATTAAATTAGTGAGCTCTGTGGACAGGGTGGGATGCCGATCTCCCAGAGAACGAATAGATCTGGCCCTGAGCCAGTAATTAAAGCAATACCTTTCCTGATTACGCCAATCCCCCTTAATGAACTCATTATGCATTTTAACCCAAACACTCCCATGAATTAATGAGCACAAAGAAAGCCCCTGCACGGAGAGAACGCTTCGATCACGAACACAAGTCATAACTCATCCACTCAACAGGGCAGACGTAATGTCCATATTTCTCCCTCTTTCAACAGCAGCCAAGGCTAATTTTGACTTGAGTGATGGCAAAAGTTCTAGGTCTGCACACATAAGTCTTTAGAGAAATAGGATCCCTTGTCTGGGGAAGTAACAACAGAAACTTTATAGGCTGACTTTACAAGGTCTCACAGAAATCATGGCTGAATTCACTGCATTCAGAAAACTTTGGTAATGTCTTTGGGCACAGATAGGACTACACATTAACACCCACACAGGTTTCAAAACATATGTGTAAGATGATTTAAAGAGACCTAGGAACAGTGCAGGGTGGGAGCAGCTCTGCGCTGACCCATAATGCTTTGCTAATTAAATAATTCACTAATTGATTCATTGCCAAATCAATAAAGCCCGCAGATGGTTTATGGTGTGAGAGCTAAAGTGTGTTTGTGTTTGAGGACTGCAGAGGGTTACAAATGAAACACACAAATACACCACCGCGTGCACACACACACACACACACACACACACACACACACACACACACACACAAGATCAAACCTGCTGGTGCATCCACCTGGCTGAACGATAAGCAAAAGCACATGAAATTGGTGCTAAAATGTAGGTGAATATTGAGTTGACCTTGTGCTTGTGTTGTATGACATCATTTCAGACCCTTACAGGCAGATGATAGTGAATGTAAAAGGCATGGGACACTGTGTGTGTGTGTGTGTGTGTGTGTGTGTGTGTGTGTGTGTGTGTGTGTGTGTGTGTGTGTGTGTGTGTGTGTGTGTGTGTGTGTGTTCCATAAACACAGCTCTGTCCTAGACCCAGTCTCAGGGGAGTCTGGGCTTTGTAGGTGGGCCTGAGCAAGAAATCAGCTGGGATATCATTAATTCAAGTGTAATGAATCCTTAGGTTATTTGTGTATAAAAGGGCATATGCACTGTAAATATGTTGTATGTTATGTATACTTTATGACAGGTCATTTGTGTGAGTGTGTGTGTTTGTGTAGGCCTGCATGGTAAGATTGGAATTACCTTTGAAAGTAATTGGGACAGCAGTGAAGTGTGACATCTTACTGATCTGAGTGGACGCAGGGGCTGTAAATCCAGCTAGATGAGCAGTTTGATATTTGTTTCCAAGGATGTGTGCACAAACACACACACACGCACACACACACACACACACACACACACACACACACACACACACACACACACACACACACACACACACACACACACACACACACACGCAGCAAATCACCATAGTGCTCGAAATACTGTCGGATAAAGGTTATGCTCGTCTTTTGTGAGAGATGATTCTTTCTCAGTTGGATTAAAAAAAGGAAAGCATTTCATTTTTTTTCATTTTATGTGAAACTGCATAACAACAAAGAAAACATTATTAATGTTATTTAAAAGCTCTATAATACCATTCTCAATAACACTCAATAATTTACTTTTTTCAAATGTGTTTTCAAGGAATATATGTCAGCTTTATTATTTATTCTACTTTATGAAGACAAAGATTAATGGACAGCCATTGATTTTACAAAATTAATTATTTGAATGACCTTTGATGAACGTTGGAATTACATTTGTCACAGTGATCTACTAGCCACTTGTGTATTTTTAAACCATTTCTGTACCTTGTTCACACTTGATATTCTGATTTAAAAATGTCTCCACTCTTCTGGACCCGACTAAAGATTTTGGAACTTGGCTGCAAATGAGCTCCCAGTAAAGCATTAGTTAGGTTTGGCACAGATGTCTTGTTACAATTGACTTTTAATTTCACCCCTAAAGGTGAAGTTCAAGCCAGGACTCAGAGCAGGACCGTAAAGTTATTCAACACAAAACTGTAACATAAGTTCCTTATGAACATGAGTGAAAGACATTTTCATATCAAAGCAGTAAAGGGTAATTCCCAAAATGTTCCCTCAAAGCAGAAAGCACAGCATTTTCTTAAATACTGTATAATTATTATTTACTTAATGGTAACATTTAAGTGAGTGAATATTGAAGTACACACCTCACTCGGCAGTCCTATTCTGTGAGCTTCGCTGGCTGATCTCTTCCCGGCAGACCGGGGCAAATCTAGAAGGCAGTGGTAGAATTTAACAAAGTACATTTACATTTACTCCAGTACTGGCCCGACATACACATGTTTGTTATTTATAATTCAGCTCCAAATGCAGAAGTATGAAATAGAGCTTTAGTTTACAGTTACATATTCATTATCTCAATGCCAGACATATGATCAGATTATAAAAATATGATGCTCTGTTATTGATTAAATCAGTTCACATGACCTCGATCCAAAATAAAATACTACTAGCTCATTAATGCATCATTAATGGCACAGTTAATGACACTTTACAGTTTTCTAAATAAAAAATACTTCATGCTTTCACTTGAGAAACGTTATCAATGCTGGACTTTATTTTGCACATAATATACAAAGGATATATTACAATATTACTATATTTCCAAGGGAAATGAGCTCTTCCTTCATAGCAATGAAGAAAATGTATGAAATGACCCTTTTGAAAGCATCCTGTGACGCTGCCACGTTACCGAGGCAGCAGCTGAACAAACTCATTCAAATGCTATCTGAATACATATTGTGTTTATCATGACTAATTATTTTTTTATCTAAATACTGGTACTTTTCTTGGACTGCTTGAAGAATACCGTTTGATGTCAAAATTAAATGTAAAACAAGTGCTACATATTTATTCTTTATTTATTCTTTGCAATTCATGATAAAACTGAATTTTTCATAAATAAAAACACATTCTTTCCTTCGAATATCTGTGAACTCCATCCGTACACTTAGAAAATATAATTAGTTTACTAGCTCCATGGTATTAACAAAACAGACATTTTCAAAACGTATTATTACAAATATTATATATTTAAACCTTATGCCAATTTCAACTTCAATTATTTAATTTAAAGGTTAACCATTAAGGATTCTAATGTGGTCCAATATCACCACATACAGGGTCACGAAAGCACCCATCTCAACTTAAATGCCCAAAGTATTATTTCATTAAACGATGGTTTTAAAAAAGGTCAAGTGTGTAGAATTTAGAGGCATATGGGGTTGAGGTTGAAGCAGATTGCTACTGAACAGATCTCCAATCTCAAGCATGTCAGAGAAGTACGGTGGCCTTAAGGGAAAATCAAATCATGAAAGACCCTCTCTAGAGGCAGAGTGTGGTTTTCGGTTCAGGCCTAAAATATGGCAGTCAAACATTGCTTACCCTGTGGAAGAGGATCTCTTACTACGAAGGGGTCATTCAAAATGTCCCAATCATTAAACAATTCCTTGTTTCAGATGATATTACTGAAATGAAAACATACTGTAATTTGTATTAATATTTTACATTTTCTGCCAATAAATCCCCCACACTTGTCCTTGAAAAGAAAGGTACCATTGAGGTTGACTACTTCAGACCTTTAATAATATGGGTAAACCCTGAGAGAACAAAATAGTGAGACCTCATTCACACATGACAGGAAAATCAGAATTCACCACAAGTAGAGCAGAAATGAAAACACTTCTTTTTTTTTTAAAACAATACAGTGAAAAGTGAAGGTTAAACTGCAATGGTGGATATGACCAATACAAAAAAAAATGAAATTCCTTAAAGTGATTAAAAGTTCATTCTCTATCGTGAAAGTACAGTCACAGTAACACCTGACCCGTACGCAGACACTCTTTGTTGAGTTTTACAAAAGAGCCTCTTCACACATCATCAGCTGTACAGACAGAAACATCTTCATGTCAACATGTGGAGCCGTGATGGAGGAGCACCACTGTGTGTTTAAATGCAGCATTGCAGGTGAGGAGCATTCTGCCTCTAACCTTTCCCTCATTACAAACAAACAGTACGAGTGAAAGTGAGGAGAAAAGCTGAAGGCCAAGTAGTATATTTGTGACTACAGCACACAAGCGTAACAAGATTTTACACACAATAAACACTCAGGAATTAAGATTACAAAAATAAAAGGAAGTGGAAGGTTTCCTTCTCGGTAGGGAATGAAATCAAGATACATAAAAACCCATCCACCGGACAGTTTGGCAAAGCTTTAATGTCATCCCTTTTTCCTATTAAATACACAAACTTAAGACACAAACTTTTTTAAATAATATTTAGAAATTAGCGTAATTGGATAGGCTAAATTTAGCATAGACACTGAAAACAGATGGTAACAGCTATCCTCGATTAATCTAAAGTTATCGAAATCTGGCATACCAGCACATCTAAAGCTCACCACGCTATGTCCTGTGGTAAGTATACAACAACCCCTTTATTGTTGTTGTTGTTATTATTATTATTATTTTCACTTTGTTTTTGTACAGATTAAACAAACACTATATTACATGAAGAGTTTGTAAAGTTCTTGTCCGCAGATTTGTAACTTTTAGACAGCATCAGGCTAGCTGTCCCCCCCTCTTTCCAGTCTTTATGCAAAGCTAAGCTAACAGACTGGCTCCAGATTTAAATTTAGCGGACAGATATGAGAGCGGTTTCTATCCGATCATGCAAATCTCGGAAGAGCAATTTTTGCACAATGTCGAACTATCCCTTTAAAATTATACGGAAAAGCTGCTTTAAATTAGAAGCAACCTTTCTACCTTGCCAAGAGCATTATATTGCAGCTTGAAAACACATGTAAGTCCCTTCAGATTCTTCAGATCAGGTCTATCACTACAGGAGCCGCCTGTGAGAGGCAGGCTGGATCTTAGGATTCAAACTGAACGCTAAAACTGTTGCCAAGCTCCCCATGCTGAGTGAAAGTCAGCACCTTAACTTTTATACTCAAGTCAATAAATAAAAAGAAAAGATCTTCAAGCTAAAAATAAAATACGTTCATTTGTGTGTGTGCAAAGGTTTCCATGACACCCACGTCCAGTTCACCATGCATGTTCACACCATGTTGGTTTGCGTGTTGGGGCTGCAGCTCTGCAGATCCTGTACCTGGTCCAGAACCCAGTGGATGTTTGGTCTCTCCTGCGGATTGGACATCATTATGGAGCTCAGCAGCATCTTTAGGCTCCCCGAGTAACTGAGGACAAACAGAGATCAGATTAGAGCTTAGAGCTTCGAGACGTTGTCAAATCATCTTTAACAACTGTCAAAGGTCATTCATATATATATATAAAAAACTGTATGATTTGTTGCACTAGATTGACTAACAGAAAGTGAGTTTTCCTGGACAGAGCTGAACAAAAACAACCTAAACAAAAAAATGTCTTTGCATTGCACTTGATAACTCTGACCTACAATAACTTAGCTGCGGACTAACACAGGCTTTTAATAAGTATAAGGAAACATTTAAGATACAGCTCAAATTTTTCTTAAATCTCAATCTCTACATGTATGGCAGCCTTTCCATTCCAGTGTTTGTTAAATTCCAACATAGAGAAATGTTGTCAATAGTTTATAGAACAAAATATATTAATTTAGTCAAACGCATGCCTATAAATAGTAAACCCAGAGAAATGTTGCAGTGGTCTCTACATTTTTTTCTAGAGCTGTATCTTAGGCCCCAATTACACGGGAACGCAAACAAAAACGAACCGAATTCGATATCAAGAAAGTATTCCGTTCACACGGATACGGCTCAATAAACGTGTCCCTTAACACGAGACCGCTCGACTCGCTGGAGAAGCTGTAGTACATGTGCCGGGCCTGTAAGTGGCGCTGTACTTCGACCACAAAATACACCAAAAGCAGCGAAGAAGAACCCCGAGCATGGTTGCCATGGTTGCCATGGTTGCCCTTCCGTTTATTCTCCGCGGTGGATTTAGCAATATGTAGTTCATGTAGTTCTCAATGACCACTTGTTGCTGATGGTTGTGGTAGAGGAGCTGTAGATGTTGCACTAACATCTGTAGCATGGTCAGTAGCAGTAGCTACTGACAGTAGCTGACAGTAGCTACTGACCATGCTTCAGCAGAGGTGGGGAGAGGCGGGCTATCGTTATCTGGAAAATGATCGTATAGGACGTACACACGGAGCCGTTTAGCCCCCCAGAGCGTTCCATTTGCAGATCTATCCACCTTGGAACCCGTTATCGTTTTAGGGGTCCGTTTCCACGGTTCCGTTACGGCCTTGTGTGAAAGAACGGGCTATACGAAAGAGAAAAGTAGCAGATACAACCCGTTTCATTCCCGTGTAAACAAAGGTTTTTATTACACATGTTAATTGAGTAAGTTGTGTGTCTTCTAGTATTCAGTATGTCCCTAAAATCAGTCACACCTACTCACAACTTGGCTCAACTTCTAGATAAAATGGAGAGGATTCTTTCAAGCCAATCAACAGAATTGGGTTCACCAACAGGGTAGATTCTTCAAGTTACACTGTAAGATGATGTGATATTCTGAAGACCGACCTGCACGACTCTGGGATGGTCACTGGATTCTGGACAGCCAGGGCCACGCTGTCCCCCTTCTGAAATACCATGTCATACGGCCCCTCCAACATCATCATGCAGTAAAGCACACAGCCCAGTGACTGAAAGAGTCAAAAGACGAGAAGAAGAAATGGTCAGTGATTTATCCACAGTAACATTGGCACCGTGTTTCAGAGGCTTACTGATGTCACTCACACATGAGAAAAACATGAAACAAACAAGACCAAAGGATTGAAGAGAAAGAGCATTTACCCAGATATCAGTTCGCTCATCTATAATGCAGTGGCTCTCTACATTGAAGAGTTCAGGAGCCCTGTAGGAGATGGTGCACCGCTGCGCTGCCCAGTCCTGTATGGTCATGGCTTCTCTGGTTCCTCGAACCTGAAGGTAAACCAGTTTCATTCAATTCATGGCAGGGTAAGGGTCGTTTAGAGGACCTAATGTTTGGAAGATAAGCCTTGAAAACATGAAACATATTTATAAAATGTTGCGTAAACTCTTAATTATTTCATGACAAACTTTAGAAACTCTTGATTTAAAGCACAATTAAATAAATGAGTCTGTGTTGGGGGTGGCGGACACACAGAACAATGTCAAATTGTCCAAATGGAAAATAAGCCAGAGCATCAAACATTGTTGGAAGCATTTACGAAAAATGGGAATCCTCTTCCAGGAGGAGACTGGAAGTTTGCTTTAACAGGTTTAAATCTTTAAAATGCTGCTCTTTACATATATTGGTAGAACATAAAAAAAAACGAAATTGTGTATTCTGTGAAAGACAGAGACAATATCCAGTAGCTGTTCATTTAAAAGATTTGAAGAATGATATTTTAAATTGTGGTCAATTGGAATTAAAGATCTTACACTGCCATCTAGAGCTGGAAATCTGGACCTTCTTTATGTTTGTTTTGTATTGAGTCTTCATGTTAACTGCACAATTAGTCATTGCTACACGTTAGGTTGTAATATCTGATGTTAGAATTAAAACGCAACACCGCTATTTGTCTAAGCTTGCTCGCATCTCTTGGTCTTAACTTTTAGACCACTTTCTTGGATATACCAGCTTTCGTTATTCATTTTTATACTAAGAAATGCTCAGTAATGTTTTACATTAATGTTACACCTTATTTTGTTATATAAACAGACACAACCATAGAAGTAATGCACTTTGTTCTCACACAGTAAGTTAAACTAACAAACTATTTTGGACTTGGTGTTGTTGGATAAAAAAAAGGAAGAGATGAGGTAAATATTACAAACTCATCAAAGACTCTACGCCCTTACCTCAATCCTAGCACGGTTCATGGAGCCCAGGTCCATCAGAAGCGGCCTATCGTCCTCATCCAGAAGCACATTTGTCGGCTTCAGGTCTCTGGCAGATTAGAGCAGACACAGAATAGGTTCAGAAGTCTGCATTTCAATGGTGTGAATACGAAAACGGAACACACTAAATCTTCCTTCTGTAAAAGATAGTAAATAAAAACATGACTGTTTTCAATTGGCTAAAATTAAAATTCTCGATTGTAAAAGGATTTCTGTTGACAGTGAGTTGAATTACTAACTATGATATTCAGAATACTCTCATTGTGATATAAACTGTAAAACATTATACTTAGCCAAGCAGTAAGCATTTACAATTGTTACTGTACATTTAGGAAACTGAAGTTAATTATTTAACAATTGTAGGCAATTTTTCATGACTTTATATCATCTCCCTATTAGAGATTGATTGCAAATAAGAATGTATAAATATTATAGGTATTTAGGTATTTCTGTTCTGGATGACTTTACAAGGTAGGCCTGTAGAAATGCTGGCGTGGTGTGAATCCAAAGAGCATTAATTGAACTCCTGAGTCATGCAGCATCTGAACACAGTGCAAGGTTCAACTATGATCAAAAGCGACTCCAGCATTCCAAAAAAACTCTGGGGTGTAACTTCAAAACTGAAAGAAAGTTTTTACGCTAGTCCGATGCATGTAAATGTTTGTTTCCATGTGTGTGTATGGAGAAAGATTACCTGTGTGCATAGCCTTTTTCATGCATGGCCTTGAGTCCAGAGCAGATGCCACGGAAGATTTGCAAAATCTGTTTTTCAGACATTAAGCTCCTCTTGTCACGTAACTTCTCCAAAACAGACCACAGGCTGCCTTTCTGTTCACACAAACACACAAGTCAGAATCAGCTCATTTCCCACAGGAGTTTCTAGGCAAACTCAATGTTGCATCAACTTACTCCAATATAGGGCAGCAGTAACCAGGCTTCAGTCTTGCCTCCACGGTCAACAAAGGTGTGCGCAACTATGCTTAAAATGTTGGGGTGATTAAAAATCTGATGCATCTCCATCTCTGTCTGCGCCTCCTGGCGGCCTTCACGGTCATGGCACAGGATCTTCTTCAGGGCATAGAAGCGCCCGTCCTTTGCCCCCTCTACCAGGTCAACATAACTGAACCCCCTGAGGAGAGGACACAGAGAACAGCATATGAGTTGTAATAATGGTTTAAAGGAAAAAGCTTTATTTTTTACATTATCAACAAATCCAGAGAAACCTCTCAACAATCCATATGTCTGTTTAAACTCAGCTCCAACGCTCAGCCTTTGTTTCTACTAAAAACGTTATAATATAACATTTCACAAATAAAAATCCTATATGATTTCACAAACAGTTTTGAACAACAATGGACATCAGAGAAATAAGTTATTACAGGCTTTGACTTGTAGGATTAATTGATTTTTCTCTTTTTATAGGATTTGTTGACAATCAAATGAAAAGTATAACATCAGATAAATTGCAATTAAGTGGAGTTTTTAAATGAAACAATGTCTTAATGGTATATTACCCTTCGTCTAGTTTCTGAACAAAGTAATATTTTTTGTTATCAATGGTGATGGAGCCACGGGAGCAAATACACAGGGTCTGCCCCATCTTGACTGGTACATTATTTAACGCCAAGCTTTTAAGGGCCTGAGAGAAAGAAGACAAACAAAGTTATTTGAGAGAAAAACCAAGACAGAGAAATACAGAAAAGAATGCCATTTATTTACTAGATTAGTATTTATTATCAAAATAAAACTGGGAGATAACCTTGTGATCATATGTAAAGAAACACGGTAAGACTGACAAGTGTCAATAAACGTTAGCTAACATAGCACATCACAAACATCTAACGTAAGCTTAGCAACAGGCTAACAGCCACAATGCGACATGAATGTCGTTGTTTAACGTTAGCCCCAATGGTGGTGTTAGTTAACTACCTGACACAAGAATAAGCTACACACAAAAAAAAACATATGTTAAAATTGGTGGCTTAACGTATTGATTCTTACCAGCTAGCTGTCTGTTTACCAAATTAGCTTACTGTCATATCTCCTCCTCCATCTTCTTCTTCAGCCCTTTTAAACCAGGGTTTAAAGCGCTTTACCGCCACCTACTGCTTCGGAGTGTGGACCAGAGGTTAAGGCATCATTCAACTTAAAATCAAGATATAAAATATAACATATTTGAATAAACAAACAAGCCAAACATGTCAAAAAGTGTATTAAAAAATACATATAACTTAATCAGACAGACAGTAATTTAAAAAAAAATGTTGGCAAAACATTGCTCAAAAAGAGAGCACTGTCTTTCCGCTTGAATATTACATTTACCCAGAACATTTACCAGATTATCAGTATCTGAAATGTTTGGGTTAAGGTTGTCCCTAAAATAAATGATATCTTTGAAGAATAAATAGCCAACCAAGGATATCAGACCAACAAAATATTAGCATATTAACATTCAAAAACAATAATGTGAGAGATAGCATCCAATTAACCTTATAATTAACCTTTTTATAGACTCAGGATCCAAAAGGCAATAGATTAAATACAATAACTGTGGGATATTTTTGTGTATGGGACAGATTAAATTGCAACCCTAACCATTGAAGCATACGCTGAAAAACACATACACACTGTTCTGGATCCTTGAGTCCAAAGACAGAAACTGAGAAAATAATGGTGTAATGCTACTTGTAACAGAGTATGCTCTATGGTATTTATACTTATACTTAAGTACAAGATCTGAGTACTTCTTCCAACTCTGTAGGAACCTTTGACCCTACTTAAAGGCTCTGTCAACTTGCTGAGTTTTACTTATACAGTGTTTGGTTTTACCACATAATAATTATGCTTTGAACTTGAAGATACTAACACCATCATCAGACAATTTAAAAGGACTGAAATTCAAAATGACTGTACAAATATTGTACTTTTACACTCACGTGGAGGATGTTGTCATTTCATACGTGACGTCTCTTTTCTTGTTCTTCAACGTTTGACGTTCACCTCACATTGATTGTTCCACAGCGCTCGGAGAAGAGCAGTGGCCTAAACACATTTCAAATTCTCAAACAGAAGGATGGCGGATTACAAGCAAAACAGAAGGGCTTGCACCGACGACGGAGGTGATATTTGAGCTATTTTAACGTCTAAATGTGGTTGAGAAGTATTCAGTTATTTCCATTAGCATGCTTTGCTGCTTACAGAATGAGACGTGCCCCAGCTAATGTCAGACAGAGTGAACGTGTGTTCAACTTCAAGCTAACTCGATGTTAGCTACGTATCATTGACTAGCAGCTAATGCGTAGTAACAATTCGCGTTGTATTAACATGTACAATGGAAATGTCGCTGGCTATATATTAACTATCGGGCTAACGTGATAACTAAAGTTAATTGCAGACAGGTCTCGCGTAGTAGCCTGGCGTAAGCATAGCTATTTTTGCAAAACGCTATAACTTCAAGTAGTTAGCACAGGTAAACACCATGCTAGGGGTCCATGTATGTCTCACAGCGTCCTATGTTGTCCAGCTCAATAGTGTTTTAATATAACTTTAAGGAGACATTTCAAAAGGGTGTTAGTTTTCTCCCAGGTCATATTCAGTGTATGTTTCCCTGGGTCAGTAACATTAAATCCCCCTTCCTATCGTTACAGTTTAATATCCTACTGATGTTGTCTCCAATAAAACCTACGCACTCAAATTAGCGGCCGTTCTTGACTTTAGAATTTGATAACCCCATATTGGCTGAAAAGATTTTATATTAAAACTGCATTTAAAACACACATTGAGAGACGAATATAGCCTTTATCAATTTCCTACAATGTTAATTTATATCAAGAACATAGGACCCTGAAAACATAGCATGATAACCACTATAGTCTAAGATCATATCACCAAGTTAATATACACCCTAATAATGTAGGTAAGTTATGCACACACCATCCTTAGTCCCTAGCTTTTAAACAAGTAAGTTAAATGCTAGAAAGATGGTAAGAATCTAAAGTTAACTGCTATAAATGTAATATTAGCCACACAGGTAAAGGTGATGTCTATTATTATTATTCTCCAACTCCCAGGAAGCAGTTGTTCACCTTGTTGAGTTGTCTTGCCTCAAGCAGGGCCGCAGGAGGAGGGAGACAGAGTGAAAACTAAGCCTGTCTCTTGTAGCTCTGTGGGAGGAGAAGGGGCCGCAGTCAAACGCAAATCCCAGCAACTCATACCTGAAGATGAGGACGATTCCTCTGAAGACCTACCAGCTCCCCCCAAAGTCTCCAAGATAGGCTTTAGCATGAGCAGTCCCATGGCGAAGAAGTCAAACCCAATATCCATCAAACTTGGAGCAACAGTGAGTGTGTCATAAGGCATAATAATAACTGCTTGTACAGATACTATTTGAATGTTGTCCTCATTGTAAGTGATGTTGAGGGGCAAAAAGTTACAAATCCCCATATTTGATGTATTGATCCAGGTTTTATATTGCATTTTAAGAAGATGGATGTTTTTGTTTGCATACATCTTGTATTCCCAATCTGTTCTAGAAACCTAAAGAACCTGCACCTTCCGCTCCTCCAAAGAAGTCAGGGCTGGCTTCTGTTTTCGACGAAGATGATGTAAGTGAAGTGTTCACACACACGTAGCAATGTCCTGGTTTTTAAATCCTTAAACAACAAATAGGCCGAGGCTCATTTGAACTATTTTCTTGCTATGCAGAGTGAACCTGAGGAGATGCCACCAGAAGCAAAGATGAGGATGAAGAACATTGGCAGGTATAATTCACATGTCAACATGGCCTACTTTATAATTGTTCCATTAGCTTCAGCTCTTTTCAAAACATTTAGCTTTTGAATCTTTTTTAATGAAATGCTACATCTCACATTGAGTAATTGGAAGTTGCTAATCTCTTCTCTTTTTCAGAGAGACACCAACATCTGCAGGTCCCAATTCCTTCAACAAGGGCAAGCAGGGTTTCTCTGATCATAAAAAACTGTGGGAGAGGAAGATGAAGGCCCAAGCAGACCAACTGTAAATGACTACAACCTTTTTTGTCACTAATTGATGATTTTGTATAGTTTAAACCATATCGGAGATATCTATGAAATATTTCCCTGCTGCAGTGTTGACATCCTCTCAACTTTGTGGCAAGTGATGAATAACACATAATGACGTTTACGTTTTTAACCACTACTGGCTGATTTGTTTGTCAACCCTCTCTGATCCGGGCTGCAGACTGGGATGCTGTAGATATGGGAGAAATACATTGGCCCGAATATAGTTTTAAATTGTGTAAAAAAAAATAAAAATAGGTTGCTTTCTGCTAGCTTATTAAAAAAAACTAGAATCTAAGAGCCCTGATGCCCCTTTTGTGACATGCATGTTCAGACCTGAAGCTGGTAAGCTAGCGCTTACGGTCACTTGTAACATATTTGTAAGTGTGATATTGTTTTATTTTTGAATCCATAAAATGGGTATGTGTGTTTGAGTGTGAAGTCATCATGCATGTGCGTGTGTGCATAGCATGGATTAGAGCTGCAGATGGATTTTTCTTTTTCATTTAGTTTCTCAACACCATTGTATAACCCTTTGTGTTCACCAGCTGTGCCCGACATACAAAATTTGTCTGTTTTCTTTTATGTTTGTTTGTGCGTTGGGCCAGTATTTCTGGGTTTGTTTAATCAATACTATATCTGTCTGTTCAAACAAGTCTGGCAAAATGTGGCTGTGAATTTTTCTTATTTTCCCATTGAAAGGACTGATACTGTTATTTGTGTGAACACCACCTTTAAAGGATACCAGAGTGCTGGTAATAGTTATACAACATGATTATGGGGGATTAAACTGCAAGTCAGTAATGATTAGGTACTGGTAAAAACTCTTCCTCGCCACTTTGAAATCAGAAACCCCATGCTTCAGGAATATTACCCCACTCCTATTAGTTTAGATAAATAGGGTACCTCAGTGACTTCTCCTGTGCCTCCTTTTGGAAAATCCCGATAATCAGAAACTCTGTATTCCTCAGTGGGTTACCCGCATGTTATGCTCCCCCAAATGGATCAATTATCCACTGTTAAGACCTCTCTTGAATACATATCTATCTTAAAGTCAGTCAAATAAAAATTCTGAATGATCTGTATTGTGTCAAATGTTTATTGCTGTATGCTGAGACAACAGATGATCTACCAATGACAAGTTTACTGTTCTTAAACCTTTACAAACAGCCATATTAAAGGTAATATAAGTACAAATGTAAACATTGTTTGGGTTATACTTTGATCATGACTATGTACTATCAGAAATCCCTCATTTATTTAATTCTTAATGTTTAATGCCGGTGTTGTATGAAACGGTAATTATTACTTACATTTTACACTTAACACAGTTGTGGTACAGATGGAAATTAAAGATAAGCATACACTCCTCTTGAGTGCAACGAATGGTGACTCACTTTTTCTCCCTCACTTGCGTTGGCCTGCAACAGGTCCATGATGCTTAATCCAATAATACAAGCTGCTTTATAAAATAAATGAACATTTTAGAATTAAGTTCTTGGTCAGTCTGTTAATTGTCCCTGCATGAGGGAGACCATGTTCACTCTTTGACTGGGCATGGCCTTCCTCAGAGACCTCCAGAAGCTGCTGGTCGTCCTGGCAGTTTTGCCTGAGCTCCAGTCCAGACTAGGAAGCACCTTCAAGGCCCTTTTGACCAGTGCTGGCAGCGGGGGGTCCGGCTGGATGAGGGCTGCTGAGTCTCTCGTGGTCCAAATCAGCAGGAGTTTAAGGGAAGTGTTTTGCAGCAAAGCCTTAAATATGAAACAAGTAGCAAATCAGCCATGAGTTGTGGTTTGAACATTGGAAAAAAAACAGTATAAATTGTCAGCGAAGATAAACTTAACTCTCGAAATGAAACTTAAATTACATATTTCAATTTCCTCCATGATGCATCCCCTGGTTTCGGTTGATGTCAATAGATCAATTAAATGAAACCTATGTGGTTATTCGAGAATTGCTTTCAGTAAAAGAAGTGTTTCATTTAATCTTCAAATGTCCTCTTGCATGATGAAGGTGTTTATGTTAGGAGTAAAATGTTTGCGGGTTGTCAGGAAACATACTCTGCAACAACAATTGCTTATGCCATGTTCACGTCATGTTTTATGGATGCTAGACCTGGAAGAGAATCCCACTCAACTGAGTTGTTCTTGTGTGGATTAATAATGCGCATTGATAATATAAAACAATATCTATTAAATGTGTAGCGTAATTACATTAAACAGCTAAAAGGGATGCATCCATTATTTGCACTTCTCAAGTACCAAGTTGCACAGTTTACGAAAAAAGGTTATATTTCACAGAGTTGGGAAACTAAAATGGCTATGATAACTGTAGCGGCACTAACTCCCTATGAGTTATGGCGCTGAGAGGCTAAAATGTGCTCTTTGCTGTGACGCGTTCCATATAAGAGTCCGAAGTCATTCATAGTCCATAGTGTTTCATAAAACGCAAACAAACAATGTACAACTCCCGACCTGACGGTCAACAGAAAGTATCAGAGCAAATTCACACTCTTCCTACATCATATCCTCCCAAACCGGCATCCAACAGGTGACCTAAATAACAATAAACTACACCCAAGTGACCATTGCCGGAGGAGATAAACAATAAGAATTAAACGGGATGCAAACAGAAATGAAGATAATAATACAAATAATAAGTAATGGCAAAACACGCATTTTGGCCCTTACAATAACTCTGGTATCCCTCAACGTGGGAATAATCTTTTCCTTTCTGTGAATTTTAGGTCTACCTGAACTCCCGATTCCAGCACGAACAAAGCATTGCTGTTGGAGAGATAGTCAGTTGACAGGACACAGATCAGCATCTGACTTCTGCGTATAGCAAGGACCACATCATTTGTGTATGCTGCAATAGAAAGAAGAAACCATCAAGAATCTTGACCCGGACCCCACACTGCCAGCACTGGTCAAAAGGGCCTTGAAGGTGCTTCCTAGTCTGGACTGGAGCTCAGGCAAAACTGCCAGGAAGACCAGCAGCTTCTGCACATACACGCAGACACACACACACACACGCACACACACACACACACACACACACACACACACACACACACACACACACACACACACACACACACACACACACGGGGGACATTACATTGACTTTCATGCATTTCCTGGAGACTTATCCTAACCTTAACCATAACCAACACATACCTAACCCTAACCCTAATCCTAAACCAAGTCTTCATCCTAACCTTAACCATAACCAACACATACCTAAACCCTAACCCTAATCTAACCCATAACCAAGTCTTCACACCTAAAATGAAGATTTCCCCTCATGGGGACCCCAATTGTCCCATAAGGGAGCGAGTCCCCAGCACGTGGCTTGTGTAAACCAGATTTAGGGTCCCCACAAGTATAGTAATGCTAGGCCACCACCACACACACACACACACCACCACACACACACCACACACAACCAACACACACACACACCACACCACACACACACCAACACACACACACACACACACACACACACACACACACACACACACACCCACACACACACACACACACCACACACACAGCACGACACACACAAACACACACACCCTCTGACCTCTCCAGGAAAGAACGCCCTCTCCAGCAGCACAGGCGAATACCCCCACTGGGTCCTCCAACAATCGGGGTAGCAGCACTTCTAAGGTGGATTTACCCTCCTTCAGGGTGTTACAGAAGGTCCAGCTGGATAAACATGCTGCCCAATACGTGGTAACTTATTGGATTACCGATGTAATACAATTCAGGGATATCATACACTGAATGTTTCGGACCTAGCCTTCTCTGAGGTCCTTTCTGTGCGGGAAAGGGTCCAACTCCTCTAAATCTTTGATGGGCTCCATACAAACGACGAAACACATCAAATTCTTTCTCATCTGATTTGTGGTGGACCGACATGAAGAAAACCAAAATCATTAGATTTGGAAACTGGTTTCTGCATGTATTTTATTTGAGTACATTCACTGGATGAAGATGGGGATTTTCAATCGTATGTTTCAGGTACTTTACTATAAGTCATGCTTTATAAAGTTAACGCCATAAAAATGCAAAGACTCGCAACTATGGACTCACTTAACCTTCAATCCTGCCTGAAAACCCACCTTTTTAAACTGAGGTATTCAATATCTTAAATTCTTCTAAACTGATTGTTGTTTTTAGTCTTTGTGTTTTAAGTCTGAATTACTGTTTGATCTTCTTTTGTTGCTTGTTTTTAATTATGCTCGTGTAAGGTGACCTTGAGAGCTTTGAAACGGCGACCGATTAATAAAATGCATTATTATTATTATTAAAGAATATTACACTTTGTGGTTGAGCTAGAAGTAAACCATATGTAGAGGAGCTTTGTGTGTGTGTGGTGTGTGTGTTTGTGTTGTGTGTCTGGCTTCTGACCTTGGTCATGTTTTCGTGTTGTACACGAGATCTGTAGATAAGCTGTTATTTCCAGGCCGATTTCGACCAAGCTAGTCCAGATTCAGCGGAACGAAAGATGCAGAAACTGGGATGTACCCAACCAGCGTGGAAATGTACTGAAACCCAGTCAAAAGAATGTAGCACACTACCTTCAGAGACCCGTACATGATTTGGACTTGGGGGCTGCACTGAAACTAGCACAGGCCAGGACATGGTTATGCCACCTGTATGAGAGTTTAGTGGTTGTGAGCATTGTTGCTTTCAACGTTGTGGGTGATAAACTTGTTATAAACCAACTGTCGTGCCGACGCGTTTGATGAGCTGTGGTGCAAGAAAGTTAGTCACTGTGTTGTGCGATTTATGAGTGTGTGGACGGCTCGTTTTTGTCTGATCTTTTTGATAGAAATAGCTGTTCCTGCGAGATAAACCAGTGGTCTATTTATATAAGATAGTCAAGTGATCCTTTGTAAATATACTATTGGCATAATTGAACATTTTCTCTAATATGAAATTAAATTGCTTTATGGTTTTGGTAGATTTTTCAGGAAGTTGAACTTGTTCAGTTCCAGAAATCCTGTGTATCTGAGTATTGACGTTACTT